ACTATGCGTTGTTTATTGTTCTCTTCTTCTTTATTTACTCTTTGTTTATACAATTTTTAATTATAAAAAGTAGATCTCTCTTTGGGATTTGACTTTATATGTACGTTATAGAAATTTATAAATACAAGAATAATTAAAACAAAAAAGTGGAAAAGATGCTAAAAGAAAAAGTCAACTAAACCGGTAATCTTATCGAACCGCTAGTTGAACCACTTGTACCGGTCGATTTAACCGAACTTCCTTCGCCGTCTTTATTGAATCCTCCTCCTTTTGGCACATGTACCGAAGAGTTCCTCCACAAAAACGATCCGGTTCTAAGAAAAGCCCACCGGTCTGCTCGTACCGAATCACCTGGTACAGCATTCGCTCGAACGCTACCGGTAGCACCTAGCCTAATCGAACCATCATCTCGACTCCTCCATAGAAACGAAGGCGTTTTACGGAACAGCCATCGATCAGACCGAGCCCTTGACCGGTCAATCGGTTTACCTCTCCTCGAACTCCCTCCTCTAGGAAGAACCAAAAGACTATTCGACCGGTTTAATTTCCAATTCGCCATTATCCTCTTCCTCACATCTTCCGGTAACCGGAGAGTAAACCGTTCGGTAGATTCTCCCGGTTGAACCACAGAATGTCCCGTCGTATGCGATCTCGAGAACTTAACCCGTTTAAGATCAACCGGTACTCCCGGTAATCTCCTCGAATCGATTTCAGCCGTAACCGATTGTTGTTCCGGTACCGGAGCAACAACCACCGGTTCTGGATTCACAACAACCTGCTCCAACTCAAGATCTGGTTCGGTACCTCCCGGTTCGACAGATTCTCCTTCAGCTACTTGCTCGGCGAGATTCGCTCTGCAAACGGGACAAGTCACGTGAGCCTCGAGCCACGCGCCGATGCAGTGAGGGTGAAACACGTGATCGCACTTGGGTAATAAACGCAGCGTTTCGTCGTCTTCGAACTCGTTCAGACAAATCGCACACTCCAGCTCTCCTTTCCCTAGCTTCTGCGTTTTCACCTCCGAGTACACGAACGTCGGAAAAGTCTCCACCACAGATGCGTCTAGTCCACGCGCCGCCGCGTTTACGGTTCCTCTGTTTCTTGCTCCTCCTGCTGGAGAAACTCCGGCGTCTGGTACGCCGGAGCAGTGGCGGAAGTAGATGGAGAAGAAGCCCATGAAGAAGAGGGCAGCGATCAAGATCACGACGATCACTGCCATGGCTGGACTTAGCTTGCCGTAGTTGTAAACTTCATTTCTTTGATCGGGTTGTCCTTGACCCGCCGCTAGATACGCCGATGACGATATAAGCAAGAAAACAATCGGCAAAACGCCGGAAAAATCAGATCTTCGCATGATTCTTTTTTATATTTTTCTAAGTGGTTTTGTGACTTTTGAGTGATTTTTGGTATTGGAGGAAGAAGAAAAGTGAGTTTATAGCGTAAAAAGGAGATTTTGAAGGGAGCGAGAGAAGAGATTGGGCAGCCAGTGACGTCAGCAATAGAGTCAGTCCTAAGTTCCACGTGGCAAAAGGAAGGTTCCTCTAATCAACGGACATGATTTTTCTTGTGTAACGGTGTGTCTTATTTATAACCTTTTTTTTGTTTGGAATTAAATTAATTTCGTATGATTCATATGACAACATTTCTAACGGTATTTTTTTAAGTTTGTTATTTTTCCATTTTTATGTTCATGATATTCATATGGCTGATATAATTTTGCTTATTTTCTGTGATTGTGTTGTAAAATGCTTTGTTAAAAAAAAAGTGTTGTAAAATGGAAGTCGTTGGTCGTTGCCTTATTGGTAAATTATGTGGAATATAATAGTTGCTAAGAAATCTCTCTCTCCCTCCATTGATTTCTTTGTGTGTTATTTGTGTGTTTCTTGTTAAAAAACAAACAAAAAATGCGAATCTATATTTCGTTCTCACTTCATTGTATGTCACACAAATGACTTTTAGTTTTGGGTTAAAGTTTCAACTATTATCTAGAATCTCTTTCATATGTGCCAAAATGAAAATTCGTTTTCATCGATATATTTGGATATTTCCTTATATAAAGCACTTTCCATTTCGATTTACTACCAATTGACTTGTAATTAAAAATAAAAATTTAATGAGACAAGACTCCTCCTAAAGAATCGAGTTCCACATTTAATAAAATACAAACAATGGGATGATTGGTTGGTATTTAAAAAGTAATTACAGTTTTAATTTATTTTTACAGCTCTAAAATTTACTAATTAAGATTTAAATTAATTTTGAAAACTACAACCTAAAAAAAAAAACTGGCTGTAATTCCCTTGTTTTTTACAACCTTCTTTTTGGTGCTGTAAAAAAAAAACATGACTGTAGAA